CACACATTGAAGTAGGGTGATGTTGACTGACTGTCTACAATATATTAATATAAAAAAAATATTTTAATTTTCTTTAATATACGTTTTTATATATGTACGACATAGGATAACTGATAAAAAAAAAAAAAGCTTTTTTTTTTTCCTCAATTATAATATAAATACCGCATCTTCCTTCTTGTAGAAAATACGCGACTGAAGAAAAAAAAAAAAAACAATATATAACGATATAATTTTCTATCCACGACCTCTCGTAAATTTATCCGGCCTAAAAAACATCACGGATTGATATTTACAAATTTAAAATTGTTTAACACGGCCTAAACTAATTTTCCGAATCAAAAATACAATTTCCTCAATAATATTTGATAAATATTAATGTACTAATTCGTCGTGTTTAGAACATATCTAAATAGAGGTTGAAATAATGGATTCTCCCCGGATGATTTGTAAAGGTAATAGCTATTTTTAAAGTTTAAAAAAGAAAACCTTTAAGTATAATGCTGATAATATTGCATCACCGGTTATATTGTTTTAGATGTTATATATTTTATTATTATTATTATTATTATTTATCTTTTCAGACGCGTGAGAAAAGTCACGAAAACTCTAGTGAGTAGATAAACATGTGCTTTTAATCAAGATCTACAAAATCTTTAAATTTTCTAATTTCTTAACGTTAAACTAGATTGTCAGTCATTCTGATGAAAATTATAGAAAATTATTAAAAGATATGCATATAAGGGTTATTAAATATGATGAATTTTATTCAGTGGGATATGTTGCGAATGGAGGTACATGTTGAGTTAAAAAAGCAGTTTGGGATAATAGAAATAAAAAAAAAGACGTTGTTCTAAAGTTCTTGAATGAAAATTCGACCCAGGAACTTATCAGAGAGGTATTATGAATTTTAAATTAAACATTTAGTACAACGATATGAAATAACTTAATTTTGAATTCTTCATCAGCTCAAAGTTTATGGTGCAGTAAATATGAGAGATGTTCACAAAAACATTGTTAAATTTTACGGTTTAAGGTATGTTTAAGTAAAAATACAGTATAAGAAATATGCATACGATTATTGACAAAAAATTCTTATTTATTATTTTGTCCCAATACATACGACCTGTTCGTCTTAGTAAAAGTAAATTTCATTTTAAATAAGGGTGCATTTAATATTATATTAGTGTATTTTAACACCTAATCTTCATTTCATATATAGCACCCGATGGATTTTATGTTATAGTCCTGGAGTACGCCGAAATGGGCGATTTACGCAAATATCTAGAAAGCAAATTTACTGACATTACGTGGGAGGAAAAGATCGACATTAGCATACAGATTTCGGACGGTCTAAGTTTTCTACACACAAATGAAATATTGCATAGAGACCTGGTAAGAGAGATTTATTTTGATTCCACATTACATAAGGAACTAATATATAACAATATAATACTATAATTTATGTATCAACCGTGATTAGCATACGAGAAATGTAATTTTATCGGCACGTGACGGCGGGAAAGTTAGAGCGATAATAACAGATTTTGGAATGTCGAAAGTCTTGTCCCGTAAAAGTTCAACGGCTTCAGAAACCAAGGGAATATTACCATTCGTAGATCCAATAATATTAAACAAAGAGAGTTATTCGAATTTCACTGAAAAATCAGATATATACAGTTTAGGCGTAGTCCTATGGGAAATATCAAGTGGAATACCGCCATTTAAATGCTACGATAAAATTAATGTTCTAACGGCCATATTACGTGGTGCCAGAGAGAAACCAATACAAGATACCCCATGCGAGTATATCGAGCTTTATCGGAAATGCTGGGATGAAAATCCAGATCAACGTCCAAATGTCAATTATGTATTGAGAAAACTCGGGGAAAAAACAATGATTACAGGATCCAAATTTAAAGAGTGGGGAAAATGCTGCGAGAAATATCCTCATTATTCATCAATTCCTAGATGGTTAGAGACAAGTAAGAATCATTAATGCAATTTATGTTCTCTTTACTTCTATTTTCTCAAGTTATGAATTGTTAAAATACTATTGCTTTTCAGGAACTCTATCCGAATCCGATTCCATCTTCTCTTCAAGTTCGACAGCAAGTGGTATATATTGTATTAATATGGTGCATTGATAGTGCAAATACACTATTAACAATTCGTTCTTTATTTATTCTTAAGCACAAATCACGGAATTAAAAATGATAAATTCATTTCAAGATATAGATAAATGGTGCATTGATCAATCGTGTAAGTATTGCTATTCCATAAATACTCTAAATTTTATACTTAACTATCATTATTTTTTAATGTGTTTACACAGACAGCGAGGTGATGAAATCTATAAGACAGAATGCACCCAACTTTGCTAGACTAATAGAACATAAAAATCTTTCTATCAACGAAAATTCTTTTTCTTACTAATTTTTGTCTATGTATCCGATTTTAAAACTTGTGTTCTCTTTATATTGTATTATACTAAGATTATTTTTTTTAATACTCTTTTTATTATTTCATACACGTCTTTATGTTTTGTATTTTTATGCTTCTTTATCTCTTTATGTTTTTATGCTTCTTTATACTGTATTATTACGCTTCTTTATGTTTTATGCTTCTTTATGTTTTTATACTCGTTTTTGTATTTTTGTGCCTTTTATGCAATTCTTCAATTAAAATTTTACGATTATACTGTATTTTAGTGTAATATTTTTTATATGGGCATTACGATATACTGTATCTGCGGATTTTAATCGGTCGCTCAGCAAAAACAAGTTTTTAAAATCATGAATTTTAGATAAGCCCAATAGCTTATCTTTAATAAATAATCCTTATATGGGTAATTAGTCTTGAACTGTTAGAAATATATAATAGTAATAATAATAATAATAATAATAATACAGTAGCACATTAAATCAACAATCGAATTGTACAGTACATAGTTTCAAGTAAAAAAAAAAAAATTTTTTTTTACCCGGTGAAAATTTTTCTTCGAATATACAGTATCAAGAAAGACGAAAGGGAAAGAGCTTGTATTTTTCAAAAAAATCACATTGCGTAGAATATTATCATTCATGCCTCGCACTTTTAATAATTGTATAATGAACAAAAAATTATATAAATAAATAAATACATTCCTTTAAAGCAAATTTTTATCCCTGTAGGATAGATAGATATACAGTATCCCAAATATGCATTGCATCTTATAAAATACTTCGTCTGCTTTTTTTTTTTTTTTTTATATTTTATTATTCTAATATTAATTATTATTATTATGTTTAATCAAATAAATGAATCGCAATTGGTGTTACGCTTGAATTTAACTTATCGCGACTTAAACAGGGATGTGTACTTGGTCTATTAGAAACTTCCTTTTAATACAGTAACTATTGTAAAATAATTTTTTGAAAAGCGACCTCACTTTATGTATTCAAAGGCAAAAATAAAAAAAAAAATTTTTTTTTTTTCTTTCTGATGAAAATGATTCATATCTTATCATCACCATGTATATATCTACAATATATACAGTACACATGTTGAATATTCGTTGAATCTAAAAAAAGACGGCGCTTATTATCTAGTCATGACGCGCTACATATTTCTTCTTGTTCATATTTCTTTTTTTTTTATCAATTTGAAAAAAAAAGAAGCAGAGATGGCTATCTCGCATGTCCAATAGAAAACAAAAAGACGCGGAGATGAAAAAAATTTTTTTTTTTTTTTTTTTGAATTCAGCGACAAGAACAATGATGAAAGACAAATTAATGTCTTGCGATATGCGTGAATGTCCAAGTATGTGAGTCCTTGTCATTTCTAATATATCATAAGGTTAAAGGAGGTGGTCATATTGACATTCATCGAATATTGAACCAACGTTAATAGTAAAATTCAACCAAACAAGCGAACCGATAGTAAATGCGGATACACATCTACTGATAGATAAATAGATGACATCATCATTCGGTCGGCTAAGGTTGATCCGAGCTCAACGTATCTTGTATAATATCGGAATGGATTTTCGGAGTGACAAAGTATATCGGGGGTAATTAATAGTGCGAACGACGGATATGCCTAATAATTTGACCACCATTTTTTTTATCTCTACCCCCGGGAGGAAATCAAGTTTATTATTATTATGATGTACAATTAGGGAAGGGATTTACCCTGTCTAGATAATTCAAATACTGTATAACTATAAGAACCGGTCCGTAATAATCGTAACCACGTAATCATTAACCTCGATCCCCCTCA